ATAGAGCTTTGGAGCTGACGTCACAGCGTGTGACGTTTACGTCGCTCGGCGCCATGTTTGCAGCCCACAGACCAAAACTAACTAGTCAGAACACCGGTGTTTTCATTGTATTACCGACCGCAGCAAAGTTGTTTTGCAAATTGGTTACTGGATATTCGCCCTCCGCGGAGTAAGGGACGTTCAGCTCAAGGTTGATCCGATTTATGAACGCTACTTTCGGCCAGCTGTTCTCTACCGATGCCTCCTGAAGCGCTCGGAGGTTCACATAGGGACCGTCAATTTCCGACACAACCACTTTTGCAAATAAATCCCTTGTCTTGTGACCAACTAATACAAAAAGTGGTAATTCATGCTATTAAACGAGGCACACTATCCTCTATAAATGTTTAAGTCATATTTAATATTTTAAATATTAAATGTTTTCTTCAATAGCTTCCAAATCGTGTGCCCCATTAATTTAAAATCTGAGAAATTATTCTACTAGACTGTATAAATGAGGCACACTCATCTTTATTTCATTTGCACACTTATATATATATTAGCTATTTCTTTAGTATTTTTCTTCAATAGCTTCTAGTTCTTATGACCCATTAACTCAAAATCTGTGAAATTATTCTACTATAGATGAGGCATATTTGTTTTCCATTTTGACCCTTTTTATTTTTAAACCAATTTCTATTTTTTAAAAATATATATTTTTAAAGTTCATAAAATATATTACCTCAGATGATAAGAACATTTGTAACCTGTAATGTTCAATTACATAAAATTCTAAGACTGGATCTATTTCATGACATGTTTACTTACCTGAAACATGTTAAATACAATATCTATTAAAGTGTGATCCATTTCATAAAATTTACTTGTCACCTTTATTGTTTAATTACACATTAAATTTTTTAAGATGGGCTTTTTCATCTGGTTCGTGTCATGATGTGGTGTGGCGGTGGACACAAACGCAGCAGGCAGTGGATGTACTTTATGAAGATGTTATTTTTAATGAACTAAACAAACTAAATCCAAAATCCCGGTAAAACAAGGAAATCCGAAACACAATAAAACAGGAGACAATGGATAACAAAGGTAACGTGAAGATCTAAACCAGTGTTTCTCAACCCTGGTCCTCACCGCCCCCCCTGTCCTGCATGTTTTAGGTGCTTCCCTTCTGCCACACACCTGAATTGTATCTCTGGGTGATTAACAGGCTTCTGCAGTACTTGATGGTCATGCAATCATTTGCATCAGCTGTTCTGGAATAGAGCCACATCTAAAACATGCAGAGCAGGGGGCTGAGGACCAGAGTTGAGAAACACTGATCTAAAAATAAAGAAAAAAAGCATTTTTAGTATTACTAATAATACTACCTTTAATAATATCACATTTTTACTTTAAATGTGATTAATTTCTTCACCTGTTTACATGCAACTTGAAGTGCTTGAATCAAATGTTTTATGAATGTTTACCACAAGAAATTATTGAATGAGAGAAAACAGCCACTTCCAACATATTCCTGCAGCCTTGCTGAGCTCCTCTCCTGGCGTTTCTTCGTCAGCCTCTCCAACTTGCTCCTCATCTACAGCCTCTTGTGGCATTATTTACCTCTTCTGTGGTAAATAAAACAGACTCAGTAACTTGTTGATGGTTTTGCTGTATCGCCTCTTTAATTGACGCCCATGTCGGTCCGATGTTGTGTCGTTTACCTCAGTGACCCATATTCAGCACTGGAACCCAGTCAGGATTGATCTCATCCATTTCATACATCGGTTTGCCTTCAAGAGGACATATCAGAACACACATCAGTATTAATGCTGTAAATCTGATAACACTAGTAAAATAGTTTACTTCACAATAATGTAATAACCTCGATGTCCACTGACAAAACTCGGACTATGCTACATAAACAATATTAGCCCGACCTAAACAAGGTTGACCCACTTAAATGAATTCAACAGAAACTGATCATGAGTACACTCGGACAAATTCATAGCAAAATAAATTATGACAACACTAACAAAGCGAATTTAGACACTCACCAGAATGGAAATGTCTGGAGCAAACTTGTAGGTATCTGGGGGTTTTGGAGAAGATATCAGGACGTCTCAACCGCGGACACCCAGGACATTCGTCTTCTTTTAGTTAGCTCTGATAGCTTAGCCTCCTCTCGTTGTTTCCAAGCAGGAAAATAGTGAAACGAAAGTCCGTTTTTCATCTTTTTACCGTTTCAGTAGTGTGATCGGACATTACACCCAATAACGCAGCAAGTTCGTCCCATAGCTAAAATATCTGAGAGTCGTTTTTGTCGGTGGCAACAAAGATGGCGCTGACACCCCTCCGACTAGAGCAGTGACGTCACGCTCCGAAGC